TTTATTTCACATCTCTGTTGCATACACAGATAAAATTAATTCAAAGTTGTATGTTAAAAACACAATATTAGACCCTGTCTTGTTCCAAAAGGAATTTCTAAGTTGTCTATAAAATACAGAGGAATCAAGAATATAAGTGGAAAGTGTTTCCAAAAAATAAAGATAAAAAGTATGGGTTAACACAGGGCTGGCTTCCCAATCCCCAGGCCATGGACCAGTACCAGTCCCTGGACTGTTAGGACCTGGACCACAGAGCAGGAGGCTAGTGGCAGGTGAGCAAGCAAAGCTTCATCTGTTTAAAGCCACTCTCTGTCACTCACATTACTGCCTGAGCTCCTCTTCCTGTCAAATCGGTGGTGGCATTAGATTGTCATAGGAGTGTGACTCAAACCCTCTTGTAAGCTGCTTACACAGGGGATCTAGGTTGTTCACTCCTTATGAGAATCTAATCCTTTATGATCTGTCACCATCTCCTGTCACCCCCAGATGGGACCATCTAGTTGCAGGAAAACAAGCTAAGGCTCCCACTGATTCTACATTATGGTGAACTATGTAATTATTTCATTATATATAAGTAATAATAGAAATAATGTGCACAATGAATGTTATGTGCTTGAATCATCCTGCAACCATCCCTCAACTCAGGTCCACAGAAAAATTACCTTCCACAAAGCCAGTCCCTGGTGCCAACATGGTTGGGGAGAGCTGGGTTAACGGATGTGAGATCCTTTTGCCTTGTCTTGGATTAATGTGCAGATATACATTGTGTGAATGACATCTGATGGCACCATCTTGCCCTGTAGATCATTTTAGGGATACCTCCAGTATTTCATGAAAATCAAAATTTCTTCCAGTGATGAACAAAATGATACCCAGAAGCAAGTTTTGGAAGAACAGATCGCTGGAATGTCACAAGAAGAGATTCTGACTAATAAACAAGAGCAGATGGAAGTGGCTGAAAAGGAAATGAATTCTGAGGTATTTTCTTTAGTCATTTTCAAATGTTTTAATGTATGTATTTGTTTAAAAAATAACTTTATGTATTTTGGAAAGGATAAAGGATTTTTAAAACATATATATACACACATATGTGTGTATATATATACACAGACACTCCATATATCCTTTATCATATCCTGTACATACAGGGTAAAACCATGTTCTTAATTCAGCTACATTTGACTGCAACAGTCAAGTAGTGATCCTCACAATGGCCTCAATCCAAAGGAGAAGCATTTCATATTTTTCATAAGAATTGATGATTTTTCCAATATCAAAAATAAGTTTTGCTACTAACAACAGATTTTCTAGTTTTTGGACATTAGTTCATCTTTTTAAAATATTGATAGAGAAATCAGTTTGTTATTTTCACTAATAGGAAAGTAGGAAATATATAGCTGGGTCAGAGGCCATATTGTAGATGTCATTATCCTTACTTTTGAGGAGAGTAACAGTTTGCTCCAAGAAGTTTCTCATTTCAATGCAAAGAGTTTTGAATACAATGGCGTGCCATGATATACATTTAGTGATAATTTATTGATAAGCATTTTGTTCCCAGAGAAATATTTCAGTGTATTTTCCTTATTTCACACTTATTACTATTTCAAACGTTATAAAGAGGAAAGAAAAGTTATTGCAATGGCAAATAATCTCACAATTTCTAAGAAAAACATTGTAAGTTGTATCTTATTTACCATTTATATTTTGAAATATAAGGCTTCTGTTGTATTAATATATTTACACCACAAAAGTAACCGTGATTTTATGAAGTTGCCCATGCTGGAGTGCAGTGGCACGATCTCAGCTCAGTGCAACCTCTGCCTCCCAAGTTCACACGATTCTCCTGCCTCAGCCTCCTGAGTAGCTGGGTTTACAGGTGTACACCACCACACCCAGCTAATTTTTTGTATTTTTACTAGAGACAGGGTTTCACTATGTTGGCCAGACTGGTCTCAAACTCCTGACCTCATGATCTCCGCCCACCTCAGCCTCCCAAAGTGCTGGGATTACAGGTGTGAGCCACTGCTCCCGGCTGCATATATTTTTTGACCTCTCCTTTTAAGAATCATGATCTTAAATGAGTTCAGTGTTGTTTGTAGAAGTGCAATGTTTAGATGCCGATGTGTACATTGTGGAAGGACACAATGCTTAAACAGTTACGAATAAATGTAATTCTTATAACTGACTGTAAAAATATTAGAAAAGCAGTATATTGATAAAACATTCTTCAGAAAAAGGAACTTAAAGAACTTTAAGAAATGGCTTCTGTCCAAATATATGCATAGCTAAGGCTCTTACAATGGTGTGGTTGATAGGTTAGATATCAGAGTATAAACCCAATTTAAAAAATATACTCAAGCATATTAATCTTATATTTTATGCATCTGGTTTTTTTATAATTCAGAGAAAGGCTTTTCCAATTCTGAAATTCTTAAAAATCCTCTAGTGATTTATTTTTCATGGTCTTTAAATAAATATTTCAACTTTTTGGAATTTACACTGTTTTAGATTTGAAGTTTTGTCCAACATTTTTCCAGTTAGATATCCACTATGAAAATTCTTTCATTATACAAATATAAATGTCATTCTTTAATTTCAGAAGAAATCATGATATGTCATTCTCTTGAGTGCTAACTAAAAGTTCCCTTTGTTTACTTAGGTTTCTCTTAGCCATAAGAAAGAAAAAGATCTCTTGCATGAAAATTGCA